AAAAAGAACATCGGACGCTCTGGCTGCGGCCAGGGGAAGTCCAGTTTGAGGCGTCGATCCTCGGCGCAGACGCCGTTCTGCAGCGAGCCCTCGTAAAAGAAATTCGACGGAAATTGCGACAGCTCCGGATGCATGCGATACTGCACCTCGAGACGGAACGGACGTATGCCGAGCACCACCAGACGCTCAAACAGGCTCTGCGAGAGGCCGGCGCGTGCCGCCTTCTTGCACATGACCACCGGACCCAGCTGGCAATGATCGCCGACCAGTATCAATTGCTTGGCGCCAAGCACCACGGGCACCATGCATTCCGGCTCCGTCGACTGCATGGACTCGTCAATCAGTATCGATGTGAATTTGATGCGGGACAGACGCACATCACCGGCGCCCACACAGGTGCAACAAATGACATCGGCCGCCTCGAGCAATTGGTTTTCGGTGCCGCGCTTCAGGCTGCGATAGCGTTTCTCATCCGCCGAGCTAAGCTCGCCGGTCTCATCCTTGAGCTGTTGCAGCTTCTTTAGCTCCGAATTGGTTTCCATATTGCGTATTTGATTGTGCAGCGCCAGGAAGCTGACGGGACTATCGATCGCCTCACGGCTCTTGGCACAGACGCGCACCACCTTCAGATTGGTGCGATGGATTTTCTCGGTCAGCTGATCGACAGCCGTATTGCTGGGCGCGCACACCAGCACAGTGCCGGCATGCTGCTTCACCAGCTGGTAGACAATGGTCGCCGAGGTGACCGTCTTGCCCGTGCCCGGCGGTCCCTGGATCAGGCTAAGCGGACGCTGCAGCGCATGCTTAACGGCATACACCTGCGAGCGATTGAGGTCCGGCAAGTGCGGTGCACTGTACAGCTTGGGCTGTGGTCCGCGAAAGAGCACTTCGTCGCTGCCATCGGCACGTCCGTGGCCCAGCAGGCGCGAATAGATGTAATTCGATACGGAATTGCGATCCATGGCAAAGTTGCGCAGGGCGCGTGTCATGCGATCAAATGAGGTGCACTTCCAGATGAAGTCCACGCTAAAATTGCTTGTACACTTGACCGGAGCATTTGTGGAGCACTTTAGCTCCAGGCCAACATCGTCGCCAAAATTGTCCGGAACCTTGATAACATGGCCAATCTCGTTCCAGGGATTATACAGCTCGCCCACGTAGCGTAGACGCAGCTCGTCGCCATGCATGAGCTTCATGTCCGAATCGGTTTTGGCCAGCGTAAAGTATGCGATTGTCTTTTTGTTCAGGCCCACATCCCAGCGCACTTCAATGTTCTCCTGTGTGGCGGACTCCTTCAGTTTCTTATCGTAGTCCGCCTCGAGGCGAACCAGCGGCCCGAAAGTCTTCTCGTACTGATACCCATCCTCATAGCGCAGCAGCACATGAGCCGGCTCCGAGTCGATGCCGGGCTTTTCCAAATCCTGCAATTATATCGTATTAACATATCGATAGGTTAACAAAGTTATCGACTTATTTTGATATTTTTTTAATACCAAAATGAACCAGTAAACAAAACAATGAATGCGCACATCGATAAAATACCAAAAATAAATGGCAAAAAAAACAAGGACTTGAGGAAATATAGTGCTAAATATTTGCGCAATAATTTGCTGCACATTATGAAGTGCTTAATGCGACAGGAAAATTGCATAAATATGATAAGCATAACGCGCATAACGTATAAATATATATACACAAACATTGAGACAGTGTTGTCGACATTTCAGCTAAATGTAGCTTTTTTTCGGCGATCGTCAGCCGTAAATAGTTGAAATTGCCAACTAATTCGGCTATCACAATTGGCTAACTCAGCCATTTTCAACATTATTCAGCTACAGTTGGCAACACTGGCAACAAAATATATCGATATTAATCGCTGCACGAGATTTCACGGAATCAATATGTTGATGGCATTGTTATGCGAACTGAATATCCAAAAATATCCAAAATCCTTGACATTCCTGAGCACATCATGGCCAATCATTTGCTGGCGCTGAAATGTGGACAAAAAACAAAGTATATGCATGCGGCGCCCACCTGAAATGTTGCCTCAATATTGTCCTTCCAGAGCTCCTCGAGCTTGTTGATCTGTGCCGCCGAAATTTGACGTGCACGCAGCTGTCCCTGCTCCGTGGGCTGTTTGACCAGCCAGGGCAAAAAGCAGCGATCGGCTATGAGCGGCTTCCACTGCTCCTGATCCCAGTTCATGTCCTTTAGCGAATTCTGTGCGGCGCACGGCTGGCGACACAGCAGCACCACCACCGAATCCGCTTTGGCAGGTATAAAACCCAATACGAACACATTGCGCACTCCGCACGAATAGCACTCGAGTATGGTCTCGCCGAGCGGCCCGTCACCGTGCAGGGTCACCTCGCGATGCTTGGCACGGACCAGATGATTGATAATGTGCGAACCGGAAGTGCTGCCGCGTCCATTGCAAAACCATTTCTTGCAATTGTTACACATGACCACCGTGGCCGGATCGTGTATGCCGCAATATTTACAGGCATGTGCCGGCAGCTCCTTAACATATGCCATGTTGCCGCCGACGCCAACGCAGCCGCCGCCGCCCTCATCGTCCTCCTCCTCGAATTGCAGATCGGCCAAATCGTTGGTAATCGAGCCCAGACGTGGATGTATATCATTGTGCACGCTAACACGACGCTGCTGCAAACCAAATTTCATGACATACGATACACACGCAGGCACGTGGCAGCCACTCACCTGCATATCCAGCTGATCGCCCTGGGTCTGGCTCTGCGATGTGGACGGCATGGTAAAGTCACGATAATCATATTGCGTTGGCTGCGTATCGGCGCCGCGCAGCAGCTCATTGTCATCCATGTCCAGGAACGAGAGCGCCGAGCTCGGCGCATACGTGTCCACACTCATAGCGACTGTTTCTCTGTCTGTGTGTCTGTCTGTGTATGTGTGTGTGTGTGTGTGTGTGTGTGTGTGTGTGTGTGTGTGTGTCTGTGTGTTGTTGTTGCTGCTGTTGTTGTTGTTGTTGTTGTGTTGCCGCTACCAAATGCTGTTACAATGTTTAATCATTTGTACACAATGTTCCACAATTTCTTTATTTTGTCTGCTTTTTGTTTTATGACTTTTTTTCTTCTTTTGCTTTTTTTTTGATTTGGCTGCACGCACTCACCTCACGCTTTCCGTTTCTTTTTTTTTTTTTTTTGTTTTTTTTTTTTTTTTTTTTTTTTCGTTTTCTTTTGCCCGGACTGTCAAAGCTGTCAGTTTAGCTATTTATTCCTTTCAGGCGCCGTCGCGTATTCAAATTCCATGCATCTGTTAAACACAATTGAACATTTAGTAAATATGCAATATGTCTATTGCGGAACGTTTTGTTTTGCGCGTGCAATATTTTCGTCGTCGTCGAGGCAAATAATTGCAAATAGACGCGTTCAGCACGTTGCTCTCCTGACGGAATCTCAATGAAGACTGTCACTTGCTCAATCAAACACAAAAAAAAAAGCAACAAAAACCAAATTCAAGCCTAACTGTTTATAACATTTAGTTGTTTGTCTGTTATTATTGCAGCGCCTGCTACAACATTGCATTTGCCATTTGCCAACTACATATGATCGTTTGCTGCTTTTACGTCAAAAAAAAAAAAAAACAAAAAAAAAAAAAAAACAACAAAAAAATACCAGCATACAATTTTATTGACAGCCGCGCGCAAAACTCTGCGCCTTATGAAATAGCAAGTTATTCTTTGTTGTTAACATGTGTGCGTGCGAACTTGTGTGCGCGTGAACTTCAAAAGAGCTGTTCACTGAACTCGTTCTCTTGAGTAATAGACTGTCAAACAAATTGTATTTAAATTTGATTATAAAAAGCGACACCAGCAATACAAAATTGACCAGAAAATAAAATAAAATTAGAAACAAAATATACCATAGTATATTTGTTTTTTTTTTTCCCCAGTTCCACCCAGCGCTCAATTTGTTCAACATATCAGCGTGGCGAGCTATTTGGTAGTTCGCATATGAATTGTTTCATTCTAGTATTTTGTTGAGATTTTCATCATTCACACAGAATATTAAGATTTTTGTACTTTTCAAACGTGTGGTCACTTTGATCTGTTTCGATGCAATCGATAGATCGATACAGTTGTATCATCCCTAATACCGATTGCAAAACCGACAACTCGCAACTCGCTTGTTAAATTTTCGCATTGAAAAAAAGTGCTTTAATTAGTAAAAGTGTTTTGAAAATTGTGCGAAAATTAAGGTAAGTGTCCAGGCAAAATAAATAAAGCGATAAGCAAAATGCAGCCAAATCGCCAGCGTTGCCAAGTCAAGTGCAAAAAATCATCTAATACGGTGTGTGAGAGCGTGTGCGTGTGTGTCTGTGTCGTGCCGCTACGCCAAGCGCGCTGTTGCTTAAGGCCCAGTTGGAACGTGCACATCGCGTTTATAATCAATTTCTTTGTGAATAACGAACAATTAATCCATATATAAATACATATATATTTTTTTTTGTCTCTAAATACATTAAACAAATCAATGTACAAATATAAATCGAATGGATAAAGTGTAATCAACAAATGAGCGTGCAAGCAGTGAGTGCCCAATTTCCACACGGGTCTGTTGCCCACTACGAATTTCACTGTGCTCGCGGTGTCTCTTTTTTTTCTGAATTTCTTTGCTGCTGCTGCTCTGCTGCCTGCTATTTCATGTGTGTGCGTGCTTCTTCTTCCTGCTCGGCACATTTTGTATGAGCGCTTGTCAAAATACGCGTACAAATTTCCGTTCAATCGTGTGTGCGTTGAAAAAAAAAATAACAAGCGAGCAAAATATATATTTAAAGCAAACATTATTTGCTTTGGACTGGAACAGTAAACGTGTAACAGTAACGGAATTGAAAATACAATTTTTTTTTTTTTTTTTTTTTTTTTTATATATACAAATAAACATAATAATCTGTAAATCGAGACGCGCTCTAAAAACTCGTGGACAAATTCGATTCGTTTACTTTTCATTGTGTGCGTGTTGTTTGTACGCGTGTGTGTGTCTCTCTCTGTGTGTGTGTGTGTATGTTGGTGTTACATACATACGCTTCTTGACGTTGTGTGTCCCAGCCCCCCCCTCTACCCACTTTTTAAATACCAATCCCTGCTTCCCCCCCGGCCACGGCCCGCCTTCCAGACTTAAGTGAACGCCACATTCTATGGTTAATTTCAACAAATAATTCATCAAATTACGCAAAATAATTCCATTAATGTAGGTTGCAACGCCCGCGCCCCAATGCGGGCCGCCAAATGAAAATCCTTTGCATGTGCCCAATATCATAATACCATTTTCATTTTCTTTCTTTCATTCTTATTTTTATTATGTTCTCTTTTTCGTTGTCTTCCCAGCAAAATGAGCAGCTCCGAGGAAGTCTCCTGGGTTACCTGGTTCTGCGGGCTTCGCGGCAATGAGTTCTTTTGCGAGGTAAGCCATCGTATCGTACACATACACATGCACACACACATATATACATATATATAAATGTATCAAAAATCTGGTAATACCCAAACATTTCCTTGTTCCATGTTGTTACCTAAGCGGGCGCGCTCGCTGCCCGCCAGTGCAACAGCACCAGACGCTGCTGCCTCTGCCTCGGCCTCTGCTGCTGCTGCTGCTACACATTTGAATACCCTGTAAATGTGTGTAACAGGCGAAAGGAAGCATATGCGACGCACGTCGATCTATAGTCTTGGTTTTTAATCTTATAAAGAGCAACTTTTTATTTGCAATGCAATTATATATTCTTCTAAAGCTCGCTTTTGTGCCCGTTTTTATCGATATTTTATGCATATTACATACGATCGATTAATATCGATTTTGCGACATAACCTCAAAGATTATGCAGAACTTCTCTAACTGCATACATAAACTAAAATCATATTACTTATGGAATACCTAGCTTTTCTATGCCCCGAAAGTCTCTAAAAGATCCGATTATAAACATAAGAGTTAATCTAGAAATGTATTTGTTATATGAAATCTGGAATCCTTGTAACAAGACCTTTTTACTAAGCTTTTAGGGTAACTGCTAGTCGAGCACGGCCGCCCAAAGTACTATTACTTGTGACTAGGCATACAGTAGCCACTCGCTAAAGTGCCTCGATTGCAATTTCTATAGCTATTCAATGTGGCCAAAGTAAATATTTGTTGCACTTATTTAAAGTACAGTCTTCATATACTTAGATGTCGCGAGCTAGTCATTAATTTGCTTAAAATATGATTAGTTTATTTATTTATTTTGAATTTCCCATATAAGATTTGCTATTAATTCACTTTAAGCTTAAAGACAAAGTGATTTTTTTTGTTTTTAAGCTCAAATTGAGTTCGTCTAATGAATATTTTTCGAGCTAACTAAGAAAATCAAAAGCAAAATATTTGAAAATCACATTAGAAATGTTTTAATTCGATCTTCTCAAGATAAGCAAAAGTTTCTTTTACTTATTATATAAAAAATTAATGCTTTGCCTTTCCGAAAGTCTGAAGAAAAAAACAACAACTGAAGAAAAACCATAAATTTAGTTAATGCCCATGCTAAATTCCCCCCGTTTTTGTTATAATTATTATTATTTTAGCCAACTAATGAAAATGTCTGCTGAATTTGAACCGGCGACCAGCCGCTTGTTAGTTCGACGCGCATAACCTCACAATTCACACGAGCACAATTTTGTGACTCTGCCAAAGATAGTTTTGCTATTCCTTCTGAAAAGTCCTTAAATTATGCTTTATACAAAATAATGAACGAACTGTTCGCCAAGAGGTGTGTTCACTGTAAGGTGGGGCACAAAAGTGTGTGCCCACGCAGACAATTGCGAGAGTAACGATTGCCAACGAACGAATTCCTTTTGATGGGATTTTATTTTACATTTTACAGGTTGATGAGGATTACATACAGGACAAGTTCAATTTAACTGGATTAAATGAGCAGGTGCCCAACTACCGTCAGGCTTTGGACATGATATTGGATCTGGAGCCGGGTAAGTTGACTTGAGCTAACAATAAATCCATCTATTGATAATAATATTCTTGCATTTGGGCTTTTTTCCAGAGGATGAACTTGAAGATAATCCCCTGCAATCGGACATGACCGAACAGGCAGCTGAAATGTTGTACGGGCTCATACACGCTAGATATATATTAACAAATCGTGGCATCGCTCAAATGATTGAGAAATATCAAACTGGCGACTTTGGACATTGCCCACGTGTCTATTGCGAGAGTCAGCCCATGTTGCCTTTGGGTGTGTATATTCAGCGAGACAACAACAGTCTATATATATCTATATCTATATCTATATCTGTATCTATATTGTATTAGGCCTTTCGGATATACCCGGCGAGGCAATGGTGAAAACCTATTGCCCCAAGTGCATTGATGTTTATACACCAAAATCATCGCGTCATCATCACACTGATGGCGCCTATTTCGGCACTGGTTTTCCACACATGTTGTTCATGGTGCATCCCGAGTATCGCCCCAAGCGCCCTACTAATCAATTTGTTCCACGGTAAGCTCCAGCTTTTTAAATCCCCCAAATAATTATAGACAAATTTCCATTCATAACGAAACGTGTTAATATTTATGCTTCGTGTTTGTCAACTAAAGCAGCTCAATTGATTCACTTTGAATCGCATTAGAATCTATATATATATATTTATATATATTCATGTAATGGGCCTAGATATGCTAGTCAAACAAGATATTACAAAAACTATGCTTATGCTTCTCCTTCTGCTTTTGCTGTAGTATATTTTGTATGCTTTCCGATCATGAATTGATCGTCTAGTTAGTTAATATATACACATTAAACCCAAACAACAATAAACAAGGCCCTTTAGCTTCACTCGTGTCTTTTGTCACGTTTTCTTTGCGCGACATTCGTAAACGTTTCACTGGATTGATCAGAGAAACAGGGCATAAGCAAGACGTTAGCTGTTGCCCTTTAGCTTAACTCGTGGATAGAGACAGCATTTTGTTGTTTTTGTCACGTTTTCTTTGCGCGACATTCGTAAACGTTTCACTGGCTTGATCAGAGAAACAGGGCATAAGCAAGACGTTAGCTGTTGCCCTTTAGCTTTAATCGTGTCTAGAGTCAGCATTTTGTTGTTTTTGTCACGTTTTCTTTGCGCGACATTCGTAAACGTTTTACTGGCTTGATCAGAGACACAGGGCATGAGCTCTTATTCCTCCAACTTCAGCTCTGGGTGCACTTCTTAAGGAATACGTGGCTGAGAGCGCATAGGAGTGAGTTTTTGTTGCTCTTTTTTTATGCCAGATTCTTCAAGCATAGTTTTTAACTTTCTAGACTCGCATTTTGTCACTTCCTCTTTGTGCGCGACATTCGTAAACGTTTTAGCCTAGCTCTAGTAAGTTTTTGTTGCTCTATTTATGCCAGATTCATGAAGATTAAATGCAAATTAGCATAGTTTTTTACTTTCTAGACTCGCATTTTGTCACTTCCTCTTTGTGCGCGACATTCGTAAACGTTCTAGCCTAGCTCGTCATATGTTTCACATTAAACTAGTTAACTACAGTTATTATTGGGTCTGCCTTATAATTAAATTTGTACATAAGAGATTTAACATATAGATAAAAATAAATTTGCTAATTATTGTATTCTCTTTATATTCCATGCACTCGCGCTGTACCCACTTCTGATGTTAACCGACTATACCAAAAAAAAACAACAAAAAAATACACCCCATCTGCAGTCTGTACGGCTTTAAAATTCACAGCTTAGCTTATCAAATTCAGCTGCAGGCAGCAGCCAATTTCAAAATGCCACTACGAGCGGTAAATTTAAAATGAAATTTCTTATTAACATTTTTTTTATTGACTAAAAAACAAAACAAAAAAAAACCAAAAAAAAAAAAAACAAAAACAAAACAAAAAACACATAAAATCCACTGAAAAACATGCAGCATAAAAAACAAAAAAAAAAAAACAAAAACGTAAACTAAGCATATATATATATATCTATATATTTTTTTTTTATTTGTTTCTCTCCCCACACATACAACCACCACCAAACCAACCAACCTCAACACAATACACCTAATGGTCATCTATCTGAACGACAACCAATTCCTAACTTGAAACTGAACCGTATTCAACACACACACACACTCACACACACATTCATATATATATATATGTATATGCATGTGCACATGTGTATGTGTGTGCCCGTGCCTGTGCGTGTGTGTGCAATTATCTGTCATCTGATCTCTGTGCCGTGCGTGCTCTCTTTGTCTGTTTATCGATATCTGCCATCGACCTATCGATATTTATCCTGCTTCTCCTTATTCCCATACAAAAAAAACCGTTGTGTATAGAAAAACTAATTCAATAAACACGCACACACACACACACACACACGCATACCATGCACGAAATAACACACACACATACACACAACTACAAACAAATCCATAACATTGCATATATATATATATGATTGATTATAAAGAAACGAGAGACATAGTTTCAACTGAAGAGAACCGACAGCTACAGACCGTTACAACTGCAGAGGTTTTGAGCGCCAGAAGCAAAATCATTTATACAAAATAAAATTAAAACAACAAAAAAATACAAAACACAAAACTGCGTTTATATTTAAAACAAAAACAAAACAAAAAAAAAACAAAAAACAAAGAAAAAGAAAAGCAAAAAGAACTAAAAAATCAAACAAAAAACGAAAAAAAAGTAAAAGCAAAACAGAATAATGCAAAGTAAATTCGTAGTGAAGTGAAAAAGTAGTAGAAAATGTATTAAATGAAAAACACTTAAAACAAAACAAAACAAAAACAAAGAGAAAGTAAAACATAAAGCGAAACGAGTACGGAAATGATATGAAGTTTTCTTAAAGGAACACGCACACACACACACACCGACACACTATCCATGGCCATATAATAATTGATCGATATTGTTATCGAATATCGAACACGTCGCACTCATACAAAAGCTCATCAGTACGAACATAACGAATTTTTGTCGTTAACACAATCAAACATATGTGCATAGTTAATGTACTTATGTTAGCATTTAGTATTATTGTAAGCATAAACCCAAACAACTACAACAACAACAACTGAATGCAGCAAAACTAACAACAACAACAACATAAACATCAACAAATATCACATTGCATAGAAATGTTTGTTTCCTCATCAAATTCTTGCGCTTGTGTTTTGCTGCTTGTATGTTTCTCCTTGTTTTGCACACACACACACATACACACACACATGCATACAAACCCGCGCATACAAACAATATATTTACAAACACACACACACACACACACACTCGTTTTTAACCTAGTATGTATTAGTAAATAATTATGTTAAAATTAAAAACAGTTTTGTCTTTAGTTTTTAGTATTTTATAAAGCCCCTTATATACATGTATATGCATATATGATATAAATATATATATATATATATGTGCATACATATATATGTGTATATATGTACTCTGCAATTGTTTTTGTTTTCGTGTGCGTTATTACATACATAACTGTATTTACTTATGGCATACCAGCTAGACATCATTTATGTTATACAACAGTTCACAAAAGGTGGCAACACTAGACCAAAACACAGTTAGTTTCAAATGAGCAACTCAATAATCACACAAACATACACACGCACACACAGCAACTGATAGACAGCGGGTATGAGAAAGAGAGCGAAAACAATTAACGATTTTGTTAGTCCACATACAACGATATATGCAACATAGTACTTCCAAAAATGATCATAAAACAACAACAGCCACATACTGCTACAAAATATATATGTATACACACAAACATATATATATATATAAATAGTAACATAATTATATGCAAATGCAACGTTTATAATTTATATATACATATGTAGTAATATTTATAAAAAACAAAAAAAAACGCTGATCCACAGAAACCCGAATCAATAACCGATTCCAACTTAGAAAGCAATAAACTTTAAAGCCAACAATCAAGTATCCATCATCCCCCCCCTTTCCCAATGAATTGAGTGAAAAGCGTATGAAAATTAAATCAAATACAAAAATAAAAAAGAGAAAAAAAGATAATAATAAAGTAAATGCCATTCGATGTGGAAACAGAAGCAATAATTCACACATGCATACACAACAACAACACCCACACAAAAACATACCCAGCACACATGCATGCATCTATATACATATATATGTATGTATGTATGTATGTGTATATATCAATACCATCAACGAAGAAATCGTTAAGGAGTTTCAAATTCAAGACAAGGGCGCGGCGACAACGGCGGCTTGAATACATAACAACCGATCCGAGACAGAGCGAGACAACAATATACAGACTTAAGCAGCAGCAAAGCACTGAGCAGCAGCGGAAGAGGAAGACGACGTATCATCAAGCACAAAAAACTCACACTCACACACACGCACACAAGGATAAACCACATTTAGTCAATGTTAATCAAGTCAAAGATGACGAAGTAGTGGCAGCACTTGCAAATACACACACACACACACACACACACAGAGAGACACATACAAACAGAACTGTATGCAAACGCTTGCGCAAGTGCTGCCCAGCCTTACCCAAACCATTCGCAAAAGCAATAGAGCAGCGCACAAGGTACATTGGTTTTTGGAGTTGAAATGTAACAAGAAGGCGCATTAAAAGAACACAGCCAGCCACAGATTGGTTTTATACAATACATGCATGCATTTATATATATATCTATATATGTGTACGTTAATATATATATTTATATACATATGTATGTATATTATTGACTTATAAACGAGCAACAATTATGTTAAACAATTGCAAATAATTAATAAATAAAAAAATAAAATAAAAAAACGAACGCATCTTAAGTTTAAGACACACAACAACAACAACAACAACAGTTAGTAGAAACAGAAAACAAACAAAAAATAAATAATTAATGCAAACTACGGCTTGCCGAAGTTCGAATACCCTTGCCGAATGATACAAGTTCTCAGATCTTTGTTGAACTTGAAGTAAATCACTTGAAATCACTTTTAAAAGAGAGAAGATTGTTCAAATTCTGCAAGGATATTCCCATATAAAGTTCTTGTTTGCAAACACGTTTAGTTTTTAAGGGTCCAAATTGAACATAACCTATATCTATTTTTTTTTTTTTTATTTCGCAATATATAAATATTACTTCCTTTTTTTTTGCCAATTCTAGTTCCATAAAAACTCATGTGTGACAAATTGTTTATATTTATGATTTATCATTTTTTTTTTTTTTTATCAATTTCTTTGAGAGATAAACTTTTGTATGCAGTATGTATATGAGAAATGTTGTAATAGATTTGCATACAGAATCAAAAGAAAGGAACACAAAAACAAGTACATAGCAATAAAATTGAAAGAAAACAAAAACAAAAACAAAAAAAAAAAGAAGGAAAGAAAACAAACATTTTTTAAGCAAATTTAGCAATAAAGAAAATATATATATAGAAATCAATACAAAGGCCAAGTGCGTAAGAAACGTTGATAAGTTGACGAGTGCATACCGAAAAAAAAAAAAACTGTTTACAATTGATATATAACTGATTAATTTAAACAAAAAACAAGAAGAAGAAAAAAAAAACGAAAAGAAAAGAAAACATGAAATTGAAGAAGTTGAAGAACAAAAGTAATAATAACAAAAACTAAATAAAAAACAAAATGATATTTAATACAAATTACAGTCTATCATTTCGGTAAACATTATAAATACAAGCAAAAACACAGATCATACCCAAAGACACGACTCGCTCTCGAAAGTTGCCAAAAGCTTATACAATTTGTATGTGTGTACATATAACGAATGCATATATATATCTGTTGTGTGTTATCCAACACTGATTGCAATTTCATGTGTTTCATGTGGATGGCTGTGCCGGTGTTGACAACTTGAATGTTCTGTTCAGTGTTAAATGGGCTTTACTGCTTTTGAAATTTTTGATTTTCATTTCTCTCTCTCTCACTCCTGTATATATGCATACATATATATATATATATATAATGTAACTAAATCTAGGACTACATTGCGCTCTGCCAGGAGATCTTAAGTCGTCCCGATCCCGAGGCCGAAGCCGAATAGTTTGCCAATTAATGCGTTGTGCTCTTCACTCACACTGCAAGCAATACGATGACGATCTGCTACTAATGCCATTTCACTCTAGCCAACTGGCTAAGCGAGCGCCAATCATTGACAAAAGCTAGCTGCTTTCATACGCTTCTCACAGATTTGGTTAACCTTCATTTTGTATGCGTTATTTACATACATTTATATATTTACTTTGCTTCCCTTCTTTTTTTTTCATTTTCTTAACTATTTCGTTGCGAATGTGAAAACAATTTTGATGAAAAAAAACAACAACAACAAATAATAAAATCAAGCACAAAATGCCTTTTTTTTATTGTAAATTACGCAATACTGTTATTGGTTGGGCTTACTCTTGTTCCATATTATCCATGCACTTTAACACACCAAGCACAAGCATACACACGCACACACACAAACACAACTCGTGCCCTGTATTATACACGCTATCAGCTGCACTGCATCCACACGCACACACTCAAACACGCACACTTCAGTGTACAACAAACACACATACGTATATATATGTATGTATGTACATAGCTCTGTTAAGCGAGCTGCAACAGATCAAACTCACACACACGCAGACACACACACACGCATATGTAGAGCACAGTTCGAATTGGATTCGTAGGCTCGCTCGGCGACCATACATACATACCTAAGTACACACACACACACACACACACCTACTCTTATTGGGACGTACCGTTTCTTAAAATACCAACGGTTCGACTATGAGCATTAGCAACAAACACACAAACAAAACAAATAGCAAACGGCGCAAGACAAAGACAACAATATACGTTTTCATGCACATACATATGTACATACGACATAATTTTCGTTATATTTTTTTTATATTCTATATGGTAATATGATATACATACATGCATACATACGTACGTAGGTGATGAAATGTATGTACATAGAAGACATATGCACATACATACATATATAGTACATTCTTATGTACATACATATGTGCATACATACTTATTTCTTCTGCTTTCTTGATTACTACTTTCGTTTTACGTTTTTTTTTTTCTCTCTTTCATTGTGTCTTCCTTTCTTTGTATCTTTGTTCTTGTTGCGCGCACATTGGTGGCTAATTCCGGCAACTCTTCCAATACCGATTCGAACTTGCGCCTGCGCACCCACTTCGCCTTAAACCATGGGCTCAAAATGAACCCAGCAGCAGCGCGGCCAGCCACCAAAGGACGAAGAGCCTGAGAACAATGCCATCGATACGATTCCAAAGCGCATCTAAAAGTGCAGCACTGCAGCGGCCGTTACAACAAAACTCACACACACACACATGCAAACACGCCACACACTCTGACAGCAACACGCAAACACACACACATGCATACGTAATACATTGACACAAGCAGAAGCAGCAGCCACAAAGAACGCCGTTGAGGAATGTACAACCCGCCCCACGCCCCCCACACCATCCAAGAAAGGACCAACTATGCAATCCGCCGGCATTCGCGAGGCTTGTGCGAAAACAATTATGTTTCGATATCGAAAGAAGACACACACACACACAAACAGACTGGGACGAGCATACACATACACAGAAACATGAATTCAAAAATAAGAAGATGAAAAAACTCAGCTTTGTCAGCCCTGGTACGTGCGTGCAGCAGGCGCAATCAATTCAATTTTATTCTTTGCATTTTATTTACTAAGTGAGCGGCTAAAGTTTAGAATAGTTTTAAATATTTAGTCAAGTGCCCTTTTAACCCTTACCCATCAGCCCTCCCCTCCCCTCCCCAACCCCAGCAAGTCCTCAAACACACACACATACCAACCCGAAGCCCATCCTAACAGAGCATAATGGCAAATATTAGCAATTATCAACTTAGGCACGTTTGCTCATGTTTATGTCGAAAGTTAACAGCTCGTGTACTTGTTAACTGATCTTCCTGTTAAATGTTAGCAAGCAGCGCTGCCAGCTTGCTAAACCGTTCGTTGCACATCTTGCGATTGATCGATAAATATACATAGTTCATCGTTTATCGAGCAGCCATGGTGGCCTTGCGTTGAGTTGTTGCCAACTTAACGATGTGGCGTTGCCAATGCGCGCCATAAAATAACAAAAAAAAAAACAAAAACAAAAACAAAAAACAAAACAAAACCTCCTGTCAAGCTGAACTACTTGTTAACTTTAACAGAAACATTAGAAAATGTGCCTATCAAAATGAAATGGAAGCCCGTTACAGTAGAAACCCCACAACAACAACGACAACAACAGCAACAACAAGGAAAACAAAAAACCGCGCGAGCCAGTCTCGCATTTCGATATCCGAGAGTGCATACGTATATAAGTATATAGAGAAATACATATGTGTACACAATAAACAATATAAATATACCGTTAGCTTATTTATATACAATTTAAAATGAAAAAAAAGAAAAGAAAACAAAACAAAAACATACAACAAATATTTTATGTATTTTTTTAATGTATTTAAGATAATTAAGATTACTCGTAATGCAGTAACTGAAAACTGAACCGTAGTAAATATATATACATATATATATATATATATAACCATATATGTATGCGAATCGGTGCAAAGTGCAAAGCGAAGTGCTCCCCAAGACGGGTTGGCGAGAGCTGCTAACTTTAAGTAAAGCCTGAACAAACTGAAATCTGAATGCGCAAGGAATATGAAATACGCAACACAACAAAAACAAAAACAAGAAACAAAAACAACAACAAAATATTAAGAGAATAAAATAATAAGTAAATAAACTAAATAAGTAAATAATAAACGATGCCGAAAACTATTGAAATATACAATGTGTGTTGCTTAAATCCACGCACACGGGTGGAAATTGGGTGAAAATTGCGATCAATTTGCCAAATCTGCAACAAGTTAATAATAAACGATGCCGAAAACTATTGAAATACAAAAGGGGAATGTGCATTTTATTCACTGTTGCTTAAATCCACGCACACGGGTGGAAATTGGGTGAAAATTGCGATCAATTTGCCGAATCTTCAATAAGTTGATAAAAAACGATGACAAAAACTAATGAAATATAAAAAGTGTGCATTTTTTTTCACTTCTGTTTAAATCCACGCACACGGTTGGAAATTGGACCAAGAAACAATAAAAAATAAACAGTTTGCATATTTTTATGTTTTTCTTTATTTTATTTTTAAATAAATTATAAGGTTCTTCGTAAAATCGAAGAATCCATTATTATTATTATTATTTCTTTAATGTTTTGTCTGTGTATTTTTTTTGCTTGTATTTCATTTTCATAATTTGAATTTGTATTTCATATTGTTTGATGCTACACATAAAACTCTGCTTCTTCTTCATGTTCATTGCCCCGCAGCGCTCGCTCTCTCTCTCTCTCTCTCTCTCTCTCTCTCTCTCGCTCACTCGCTCACCCGCTCTCTCTGTGTCACGCGCTCTTATACATATAACATTCTCTTCTTCTTTTTCTATTCACTTCTTTTAAGTTCTTGTTTGTTTTCTAACTCGCAGGCAAAGCTATTGTTTAGTGATTCCTCAACTTGACGAGCGCCTTTCAAAAAATATACAGTGCGTGTGTGTGTTTTTCTTCTTCTTATTTATTTTTTTTACGTGTCGCTGTTTAACGGTTGTTGTTGGCCATTTGGATTGGGAGGAATGGGAGGAACACACAAGATGCTTCAAGCTTCTCCTTCTACACATTTTCTCTACTCTCTCTCTCTCTCTCTCTAACAACAACTCTCTGTCTCACTCTCACTCACTGCCCACCGCAGGAATACTTAAAAAAAAAACATTAGATTAAAAACAAGTAGAAAAAAAAGTTTAAAAAAAAATAGAATGCAAAAAATGTGGCTACTAGGAATTTAGCGTGAGGTTAAGAAATTGTGAGTTGCTGCTAAAAACTTTATCGTTTGCTTTGGGGTTGTTTGTGTTGTTGTTGTTTTGTTGCTGTTGCCGTTTTTGTGTTGTTGTAGTTGTTGTTGTTGTTGTGGGGATGCAATCAAGTTGTAATTGCTTAATCAGTCTGATTTAGTTGTGCCGCCGACGCGCTTACAGCTCATCCTTGAGATCGTCGCCAGCGTCGCCGCCCTCGGTTGGAGGCACGCCGCCAGTGCCCTGGTAGAGCTTGGCAATGACGGGCTGAACAATGGACTCAAGATCCTTCTTTTGCTTCTTGTACTCCTCGGGATCGGCATCGGGATTCTGTTCGAGCCATTTGATTGACTCATCGATGGCCGTCTCCAGTTTGGTTTTCTCGTCCTCACTGAGCTTGGCGCCGAGCTTCTCCTTGTCACCGATCTGATTCTTGAGACTGTACGCATACGATTCCAGCTCGTTGCGCGACTCGACGCGCTCCTTCAGCTTCTTGTCCTCGTCGGCGAACTTCTCGGCATCGTGGATCATGCGATCGATATCCTCGGGCGTCAAACGGTTCTGATCGTTGGTGATCACAATCTTCTCCTTGTTGCCGGTGCCCTTGTCCTCGGCGCTGACCTGCAGAATGCCGTTGGCATCAATCTCGAAGGATACCTCGATCTGTGGTATGCCACGTGGTGCTGGCGGAATGCCGGTCAAATCGAATTTGCCCAGCAAATGGTTATCCTTGGTCATCGGACGCTCGCCCTCGTACACCTGAATGGTCACCGTATGCTGATTGTCGGATGCCGTGGAGAACACCTGCGATTTCTTGGTGGGAATGACTGTGTTACGTGGAATCAGTTTGGTCATGACACCGCCGACGGTCTCAATGCCCATGGTCAATGGATTGACATCGAGCAGAACGATGGCATCCGTGTCCTGTTCGCCGGAGAGTACGCCAGCCTGGACGGCGGCACCGTAGGCGACAGCCTCATCGGGATTGATGCCGCGAGATGGTTCCTTGCCGCCAAAGAAGTCCTTCACCAGCTGCTGCACCTTGGGTATGCGCGTGGAGCCGCCAACCAAAACAATTTCATGGACATCCTTCTTGTTCATATCGGCATCCTCGAGCACCTTCTGCACGGGCTTCAGAGTCGAACGGAACAGATCCAGATTCAGCTCCTCGAACTTGGCACGGGTCAGCGTCTCGGAGAAGTCATCACCCTCAAAGAAGGACTCGATTTCGATGCGCACCTGGTGTGAACCAGACAGAGCACGCTTCGCCTTCTCGACCTCACGACGCAGCTTCTGCACAGCACGATTGTCCTTGCGAATATCCTTGCCCTTCTTCTTCTTGTACAGCTTGATGAAGTGATCCATGACACGCTGATCAAAGTCCTCGCCACCCAAATGAGTGTCACCGTTGGTGGCAACCACCTCGAAGACGCCATTGTCAATGGTCAGCAGGGAGACATCGAAGGTGCCGCCGCCCAAATCGAAGACGAGCACATTCTTCTCGCCCTCCTTCTTGTCCAGACCGTATGCAATGGCAGCCGCTGTCGGCTCATTGATGATGCGCATCACCTGCAGACCGGCAATGACACCCGCATCCTTGGTCGCCTGGCGCTGGGCATCGTTGAAGTAGGCGGGCACAGTGACAACAGCGTGGGTGACCTTCTTGCCCAGATAGGCTTCGGCGGTTTCCTTCATCTTGCCCAGAACCATGGCGGAGATCTCCTCGGGCGCAAAGATCTTGGCGCCCTGCGATGTATCGACACTGATGTGTGGCTTCGAGTTCTTCTCAACCACTTTGAATGGGAAGAATTTGATGTCATGCTGCACATTCGTATCGGACCATTCGCGTCCAATCAGACGCTTCGCATCAAAGACGGTATTTTCGGGATTTGTGGTCAGTTGATTCTTGGCGGCATCACCAATCAGACGCTCGCCATCGGCCGTAAAGGCCACATAGGAGGGCGTGATGCGGTTACCCTGATCGTTGGCAATGATCTCAACGCGTCCGTTCTTGTAAACGCCAACGCTGCAAGTGGAAAGAAATTCGATTAAGTACTTGACCAATTGGACTGTAGATCAAAAAACGCAATCCAATTGGATGTTGGCCTGAGGTGGCAACGCCCAATTCGAGTAGGACGACTTACCATGAGTATGTGGTGCCCAGATCGATGCCAATAACGGTGCCTAGCTCTTTGTCCTTCTCCTTCTTCTCCTCACCCAGTGAGAGGCCAACAAAGGCCACAACAGCCAATAATATGCACAACTTCATTGTGGCAGCGTCCTCTTCTTATTTCTGTTATATTATTAACTAGTTTTGTTGCTTAGTCTTTGACACCAAACACAAAATAAGAACTGCAACGAGAGGGAGACGAAAAGAAAAGAATTATTAATGAAATGCGCGAAAGCTGAGCTTAGAATTTGTACACGTCAACACACGGCCAGAGCGAGAGAGCGAGCGCGAGAAATTGCCGAAAAAAATAAGAAAAAAAAAAACGCTGACGTTGACGTTGTCAACAGGTAATACCGTTAAGTGTGCTACTTTTGATAAACATTGAAGCGAGGGCTTAAGCAATTTATGGCACGCATCCGTCAGCGGCCTTAAAGATATGCCAAAAGTTCTTGAAATAAAAGTAAATCAACGCACACTTGAAATATAGGTAAAATACACACACACACAACTACCTGAAGAAAGCTCTGTGGGAGCAACACGTCCGCCTCGTTCACTGACCGTTTAACAACTGTTAATGCCAGCCGCCGCTCTGCTAAGCACGCTGCTGACATTGACCGACGCTGCTGCTCTGCCAACGTTGCCATAGCATTCATTTTTTGTATACGTGGTAACATTTTTCTGGTTCTTTCTGCTGCTATAAACTCTCCAACTCGCCCTCTCTCTTACACACACACACACGCGCGCATACAGACCGACCACTCTCACAAATGTGCGAGTTGAACAAAAACTGGTTTTCTTTCTGCTCTCTTCTATTATTATTTTATAAAAATTTCTTATTTAGTCATCATTGTCGCGTTCTGCATACTTATGAACAAAAACTACTAAATGCAATAGTATATAACACAGCACTCGGCAACATTCTCACACTCCCCGCGTCCGGTGAAAGTTGGGGCGGTGGTAGGCGGCATCTTCAGCCGGCAGCAAACGCCATCAATTTGCACAGCTGTGCTAGTTTTTCGCGGCTTTACTTACGTTAGTTACTATGCGTTTGCCCGAAATAACATATAAGCCAAGCTGGTGAATCGGCTTTTATGCTCTTCTGACGTGTACTTTTGTTAACTATTGAGTTGAATAACGTATGTAGCTTGGGGATCTGTTTTAAATGACGTGTACAAAGCTGATTGAATGACTGCCAGAGCTGCCAGAGTCGCACACAAATATGCAGAGACGTCTGGCAAGCAGACACCGATAAGTCGGCGCAGGCGCGTGTCTATGTATGTGTGCGTTTATACACAATGAGAATTGAGTTTGCGTATGATTTTCTTTATTTTATTTTGTTATTGCAATTGTAATCGCAAATATGGAAATCAAGTGTTGCCAAGTCAGCAACAGCAGCAGCAGCAGCCAGATAATGCAGCACTGTGGCAACGCGTACGCAACTCGAATATTGAGCAGCTGTGCGCATCTCTAGACGGCATTTGGCCAGACAGTTAAAATTGATGGCTTTATTAAAATATGCCAATATCTCCCAGCAGCCGGCCGGTTAAAAGTGAATGAACTTTGTTATTAATTGGTTAATGAATTATGCTATGCTAATTTGTTGCTACGGCCTATTAAACGATTTGCGTTCAAAATTATGCACGCTGTGACTACACGTCATGCGAATTTGTGGGCGAGGGGGGCTGGAAGGGGTCCACACTGTGACGTAGTGAAATTCTTGAGCACAATTTACGAACATTCAAAGCATTCGCGTTGCAGACACTTGTATGGCAATTACGGAATGGGCGGCGGACATGTGCTTCGATTATGTTCCGTATGATAAAAAATAAACGTTTTATACCCCACAAATTTGGAGCCCATATTGCCAACATGGCGACCCCGCACAGCACCACATGTGCATTTAGTTAATCAATGTGCTCGTTTTAATTACTTTAAGCATTTGACTTGAATATGAGCTAATATGAAAACTATTGGCATTTGTTGGTTGAAGAAACTTAACTTACACTTGAAACTTTTGGGTGCTTACTTTTTCTTTGGTTTTCTCTCTTGACGTTTGAAACAGAACTGAACGAACACAGCCGATTACTGTCTGCCGGCGCTTTCTACTCGCTCACACGCACACACGCACACACTTGCAACGCTGTGCAGAGTACACGTCAGTGTTAACTTAACAACAGTGTTGCAAAACTCACGATATTATAAATAAAAATGTATCGATTGTTGTCATTTGACAAACTGATTTTTAAATACTTACTTTTTCTAGCTTAAACTAAATTGATTTAATGCTATTTTATTGTTAAGTATTTTGTCACTTTGTTGCGTTCCTTCTTGAGTAATATTGTCTATGTTGTCTTTCTTTCCTTTTTTTTTTTGGCTTCGATTATTAATTACTTTTGTAACTTTGTACACGGTTTCACAGTCACAGTGTTTGTTTATATATTAAAAAAAAAAAAAAGTAATCCTCTTATTGTTGATCGCACGTAGTATGTATATATTCCAATAAAATAGCGCTTTTCAATATGCCGATTCGTGTTATTTCTTTGCTGTCTGTATGGAAACTGTTGACTGCTCTCCGCAATGCCGGGCTATTTATTCAAGCGCCTTGTTTACGCTCTGACGTGTCGACCACGTCAGTGTCTGGTGCAATTCTGATTGGCGTTTCGTGGCGCGGGCCGTCATATCTGATTGGCCCACGCTCGAATGTTCCCCACGCATATGGAAAGAGAGCGTGTTGCCAAAAAAGCTTTGTTTTGTTTGTTGCGCTTTCAAACACAGTTTTCGTCATCATCGTCAAGTCAAGGCTGATGACACTGACTGCTGCGCTCTGGCTCTCTCTCGCTCCCTCTCGCTCTCTTTCTCTAGCGTTGCGCTTGTTTTGGTGCCTGAAATTTATGTTACTTTTTATGAAAATAAATAATGCAAGTATGGTTTTCTTGATTTTGTTTTTTGGCAAGCACTGACGTGTACTTAGAGTTACATGAAATTTATGCTACAAAAGTGTTTTCGAGCAATTTCTCGAATGCATTTTCCAGCACTTTCTAGAAATTTTGCCACCCAGCCTCTAACACTGTCGTGTACCGTTAACTGATAAGTTGATCAAACAGTTCCATCAAAAAAAACGCCCATTTACATTTATTTGTTTTGATTTAGTTTTATGATTCTTGTAATGACACACAATCGATATCAATATATTTTTTTTTTTCTGTTTGTTTTTTTTTTTTTTAAATTCTTTTTCATAACAATAATAGCATTTAATAATCATTATCAGTGACATGTCCAACATACAATGTAATTTCCCAAAGTTGTATTCAACATTTTGTGCGATTTATCAATTGAATATCAACAAATATCTTTTCACGTTTAGTATGCATCTGACTAAATGTGGAAATTCGCAAAGCTTCTGAATTTGGACTTATCAAGTAAAACGGCGTCTGGCAAAATCTCATCCAAGCTCAGTGGACGATTTAGCTTGCGATATCTTTATATTATTCAACTATTTATTTCTTAAGGAGCGAAAGGCAACTAGGCAAAAATGTGCCGCACAAATTTTTATTTGCTGCCAATAAATATTTCTTTGCATAACCTAAAAAAAAAAAAAAATAAATAAAGAACTTGTTTGTATGGCATTTTGTTTACTTTATAATGGGTTCATTATTTTTTTTCTTTTTTTGTTGCTTCTGCTTTTTTTCATAATAAATTTGTGGGCATGACGAATTATTCAAAATGTCGCCGCATATAAGTTTATAAATATTTAAATATTACAATTGTTGCTGACTTTTTAAAAGCTAAATTTGGTCAATAAAGTTGAGCTAATCTCATTCAAAAAGTTTACAAAAAAAAAAAAACACAAGACTAGAAAATAAATAAAAAAAAAAAAAAAAAAAAAAAAAAAAAAAAAACTCTTTTAGAAAAGGCGAAACCTGAGCAAAAATAAAAAGCGCATCAAAAAAATATAGTTTTAACAGTTATTCGACTATAGTTACAGTTAAAGTTGACAGCTGACAGTTTTACAGTTATAATTGGGCTTGGTTTCAGTGTGTGCACAAAAAATTTGCATCAAAATGTTTGCATACTTTTCATTATTATTATTATTATTATTATTATTTTTTTTTGTTTCTTTTTTTTTTAAACTTGAAATTTGCATTTAAATGTTTCGTAATTAGTTAATTGCTTGTGGTTTAGGTTTTGCTTTGTGTTTTCTTTTTAATTATATAATGAAACACGTTGAGTTGCCATAAAAAAAAATGTTGTTGTTGTTGTTGCAGTTCATGATGTTGTTGTTGTTGTTGTTGTTGTTGGTCCAAACACAATAAATAACTAGATTCTGTACTCATTGACTGGCTTGCTTTGTAAATAGTTGTAGTAAATATATATAGTTAATAGATACACAGGCTAGTTAACAATATCAACAAATGGGCGTGCCGACGTCTGCATTCTTAGTGTGTGTGTGTGTGTGTGTCGGTGTGTGTGTGTGCGTCTCGGCTATGAACTGAGCTGTGCTCATCAGCTCATATATCTCTCGCTCTCTCTCGCTTTCTCTATCTGACACACTTGTTGTCTATATCATGCTGCCTCTCTCTCTCTCTCTCTCTCTCTCTCTCTCTCTCTTTTTCTCTCTCTCTCTCTCTCTTTTTCTCTCTCTCTCTCTCTCTTTCTACTCATGCCGCACACCACATATGGACAGGAACGTACTGAAATTGTGCAAACTGCACGCCGGCAACACGGTATACACTACATTCGCCATCTCCTGGCATTTGTGCCGGAAATCGTGCAGCGCCTGCAACAACAGATCTGTTGGCGGTGCCGCATTCACCTGGTAGAATAGCTTCAAATGTATCGCTGGCAATATGCTGGCGGCAGATGAGGCTGGCTGATCTCCGCCGCCACCCGGCTGCTGTTGCAGTTGGCCCTCTGTGGGCGTGGCAGTGCTATGTGCCGCCTGCTCATCAGCCTCGCGCTGCAGCTGCTGCTGCTGCTGCTGCTGCTGCTGCTGCTGTTGCTGTTGCTGCTGCCGCTTGGCCAGCGGATAATCCTTAAGCAGGCGATTCACAGTATAGGTGAGTATCTCGTCCAGATGCTCGGCGCTGAGGCTCTGCGCCAAGCGGCAATGATTGCCCAGCACATCGTCGCTCAGCTGCGTCAACTGGGTGGTCGACGAGGCCAAGCCGGTGGCCACATAGCAAACAATTGCCGCACAATTGTTCTCATAGTTCCAGCGACGACGTATCGAGATGGTATAATCGCTCACCGAACAGCCCGTTTCCTCATCTACAAATTAGAACAATCAATCCATTATCGTACTCAAAATATAGGGTATTATAAGTTGATCAAGAAGGAGTCATCTCTGGCACACTATAAAGCATATATATACTGGATCAGTCGAGTCCGTTTCTAATCTCTCAGCTTTAAGGATATTGTGATGAAATTTTGCAGGGAGGTTTTTCTTTTTAATGGAAAACATTTCGGAATATTTAATTTGCAGGAGATATCTTCTCCAAGCTCTGCAAGATTCCAAAGATATGATGGAAAGGTAACTATTCTGGCTGTGGGTAAACTATACGAGAGTCTATTGAGCTATTAGTTATTACAACTTTTGAAATATGCTCAAAAAAAGAGTTTATCGATATCGATATTTATCGATTACGTGAGATCCAAGCGTGCTATCGCTGAGTTGAAAGTAACTTGAGCTGCGCGAGCAACAGGAGAAGCATTTACGTCTCTACAAGTGTCTAGTTAACAAGTCTCTGGCTAGATGGAACTGGCTGTTGTTGCTAATCAGGAATATATATATATATATATACATTATCGTGCCGGAGTTGTCTCCTTCTGTCTATTGCATAATGTCAATGGGACTTACAGTCGAAACGATCGTTATGGGTGTGTGCCCACACCTGCCATTCGACGAGCGCCTCGCGCGGTAGCGCTGGCAGCACAATATAGTCCATGATGGCGTTTGTGGTGCGACGCTCCCACTGGCGGCGCGCCTCGCCAATGAAGGCGGGATGGGTGACAAAGCAGATGCCATGGACGACATCGCGCAGCTGTCCCTGGGCGTTCATTGCCTTGGCAATGCGACTGATGTGACGCAAGGTGAGCTTGCACTGGGGCCGTATGCCGCCCTCGATGATTGTCATGCTGCCCGGCACGAGTGCAATTTGGCCCGAGATGTAGGTGATGTCGCCAATCTGGAATGCGTAAGGGTGTACAATGTAAGCGACTGTGTCCCAACCGATCAACTGGCCAAGCGCTCACCCGCGTTGACTGGCTGTAGGGGCCGATATTGGCGGGCGCCCAATGCGATATGCCCTGGACATGCATCGTGTTTCGCCGGCCATTGAGCAGCTGTTGCGTCTCCTCACTATCATCGCCGCTGTGTATGGCCGGCGCATGGTAGGCAATGGCCTCCATAATCACATGACAATCATCCGGCAGCGGGCATTCAACACAAACGCGCGTGGGCGGATTATGAAAGCCAAACGATTGCAAATAGATGCTATTCAATGCCGGATACTCGGCTATGGAGCGCACATAGAGCGTGGTAAAGCACAAATCCTGCAGCTCATAACCATTGCTGGAGCAGAGCTCACGCAGCGTATGCAAGGCCTGTTGCATGCCCTGCTCCATGTTGGCGGCGCAGCCTGAAAGCCAACGAAAATAGAGAATATAAGTAGTTGATAGTTAATTGAGATTTAAGCTAGCTTAAGTGCACTCAGATTGGTTACCCTGTATGCCGGCCAGCCACATCCAGCCCTTGGCATTGATGGCCGCTTTGGCCTGATTGGCAAGTGGACGAAATTCACGTTCATATTTCATTGGACTGGGCGGCTGTGTATAGCCGGTTGGCATCGTCGCCGTCGCCGCCGCATTATTGTTGCACTGTGTGGTGCTCAGCCCAAGCGAGGAGATGGCCAGCGACAGCGAGCCGCATACGGCGGCCGTGCTGCTGCCCAATGGATGGGAGCTGCCAAAGCCGCAACAGCTGTTTGCCTGCAATGCAGCACCTGCTGTGGCACCCAATGCCAATGCTGATGCTGATGCCGCACCGGCTATCCCTTGATTCGCATTGGCCAGCAGCAGCAGGGAGGCGCTGCCCGTCATACAGCTGGCCGTCGGTATGGGCTCGTCGACGCTGGCGCTCTTCGTTACAATGGGTATCGGCGAGGACGATGATGTTGCCAAATGTCTGCCAAATGAATTGCTGCGCGATATCAACTCATTCTGGCTAAGCGATTCGCGCATGCGCGTCTCCTTCTCAATTAGCTCCAGTTCGGTTTCACTGAAATCCGGATCGCTCAGATCGCTGTATGTCGACTCATTGAGATCGCTTATATAGTCGAGTGACTTTTTAACAAAGACCACATCGCCGCCAGCATTTGGCTCCTTTGGCTGCAGCGTTAGTTTCGTGAAATTGATATACCCAACGGGGCAAATCGGATCGGCGCTGCTTATTATCGTCTGTATATCCTCGACGGAGATGCGCTGCTTGAACAGCGGACAGTCGAGCGTGAATGTCTCATATTCGCCACCCTCGCCACACACATTCAAACCATACTTGTCGCGCATCTTCAACAGATGGGTTTGCATCTCGCGCAACGATTTGCCCAAATGACGATCCGGCACCAGGCCCAATGCAGCGACCTAAAACAGATTCGGTTGGATTGAATGTTGTATTGGTATACGATTGGAGAGACTCACCTTGATGATAATGGCATGCACCTGACAGTCGATCATCTCCTGCAGCAGTTCAGTCTGATCTCTCCTCCACAAATAGGCCAAGGATATCAGGTTGAGGCGGCTGCACACGTTCTCCACACGCACACGCTGATAGTCTGACAATATGGCACCAACAGCCACCGCCTCCACATTTAGTTCGTGCTGCAATTATGCAGATGCAACAGCAAATTCTTTATAAGCAACATATTTTAACATTCAGTGCAAAGGTCAAAATTTTAGCAATGCACATTAAATATTTGCCAAACTTAAATTTTTTTTTTATTATTATATTTAAACTTTTATTTTTGTTTTTTGATTAATCTACGAGAGACGCGCCCACATACCAAATTTCAGCTCAATACATGGCATATTTCTCGAGTTAGGAACTTAAGAGAATTTTGAAATAATGCATAAATTCGCCTCCATAAAAGCTCTACTTGTGGTATTTATGCTAAATAAAGGTGCGCTGCATGCACATAGAAAATTTCAGCTTAATATATCACAAACTTTCACAGTTATAATGTTTTGCTCTTATAATGCAAAATTAACGTCATGCTTCATTCGATCCAAGGAATTTTAGATAAAACTAACTACAAAGAAGCTACATATCAATTTTCAGCACAATTCGTCAAGTAGATTCTGAGTTATGATCCTGAACCACTTGGAAAGTGGATTGAAAATGCGTCGTTCTTTCAATTTGTACTACCAAAAACTATCTGAGACGAGTTTGAGTACCGAAATTTCAGGGTTATGACCCACTTTATTATTGGGTAACATCTTTCGATTTAAAGTGCTTCGTCATGGAGCTTCGTGTTGCATCCAAAATGCGAAACGCTGGAGTCTAATCAATTATTTGTTCATAGTTCACGTGCTTGGTCGCATTTTTGATAAGATTACACGATTAACCATTGCGAAACTAATTTCCGCAACTATATATATATATATATATTTACTTTGTTTTGTTTGTGGGGCGTTACCCGTTCAAGGACAAGGACAGACAGTCAACAATCATACAAAAAAATGCTTAGCAACTGCTGCCGAACGCGCAGATATCCTGTAAAAACTGTGAGAATCTGTTGCAAATTATTTGTTTAAATTCGAATTACGAAAGTTAGTTTAAATTTTAACTCAATTTTAAATTTATCGATTCTTTTTGATAGATTCTGAACCCATTGGAAATTCGTAGAGTATTTAGAGCTTTGTGTAAATGAATCTAATAGGCACAAGGATCTATATCTATATATATATATATATATATATATGTTCATTCTTGATCAGCCAGGCGGCATGGTTGTCTGTCTGTCGAACTTGAAAACTATAAGAATTGAAGACTTGATATATAATAATACATATAATCTCATATATATCAACTCTAAAACGTCTTTTCTTGATATTTCCTCGATTTCGATTTCTATATATGCTAGATACTCAAAACCTGGTAATTAGGCTTACATATAACAAATATTTTCGATATTATAACACCTCATCTCACTACCCATATATAAAAGTGTATATATAAGGTATATATATATCAAGCTATCTTCTAGTGTTCTCTAAGTTAACATATAGTTTGTGGTTTAGTTAATTTATATTTTTCTATTTGTTTGATTTAAAACTTGTTGCCTTTTGTTTTTTTCATTTATTGTATTTTGTTCAGTTTTGTTAATATTTGTTGTCTTTATTTTTTATTATTTATTTTTTAAAATTTATTTTATCATTTCTTTTTGGGCTCAAGGTTTCTATATTTTTTTCTATTTTTTCAATAATAGTTTAAAAATGATTTGTTTTAATTTTTTTTTTAATTTATGCTCTTTAAATTTCTTTAAAATTTTAAAATATTTAAAAAATTATTTTTTAGTTATTTATACGCTGTAAATATATTTATTTAAGCTTAAAAATTATTCAACAAGCTTCTTTAATTATTTATGTGTAAGTTTCAATAAGTTCGGGCTTTTAAGCTAATTTAATTCGTTTTGATTTATTTACGATAAGTTCTTGATATTTATTTAAGCGTTTATGTTTTGCAGATTCTTAATTGGATTTTTTAAATTTTAAAAATAAAATTGAAAATTAATTAAGACTGTTTTGCAATTGAGAACTTCCTATGGAATTAGCTGAGTCTCAGCCAAATCAATGCCAGACCAAGACCAAGAGACCAAAGGGTTGGTCAGGAGCAAGCCCAAAACTGTTGCTTTTACAGGGTATAAACGTGTACGTCAACGCTAGCGTCATTCGTCAGGTATTTAGCATCGATAATCGCTAATCTCTGGGCTTTAATCTTTTCAATTCAAACCGAAAGAGAGACAGACAGACAGACAGACAGACAGACGGAGAGATAGACAGACATAACGACTAATTGTTATACCTTATGGGCTGCCCCCTCACCTTGCACGTCTCCAGCAAACTGTAGAGATCCTCGACTTCATCATCATCGGTGGGCACATATTGCTTGCCGGTCTGTGTGCTCTTGCCCTTCGTCTCGCGCCGATACAGCGGCAGGCCCATGGCGCTGGCGAGTATCTCGATGCCCATGTGGCCAACGGTCTGGTACATAAAGCTGTCCAGCTCATCTAATGTTTCGGGCACAAACACATGAGAATTAATAAGTAAATATGTGTACTGTGCGATATGTGCGAATTAAAGTTTCACCTCTGTCCTTGGGATGCAAATTGGCCAGGGCGACAATTTCGTGACCCTCGGCGACGCACTGCATCATATTGTAGCAGCTATCCTTGCCGCCACTTACCATTGCTACAACGCGCATTTTGTATGTGTGTGTGTGTGGGGGTGGGGATAAATGAATGTGAGTGTGTGTGTGTGGGTGTTATTTGGTTTTTGCTGCTCGGTTTAGCTGGAGTGTGCGCTCATTTGGTCTGTTTGTTGACTAGACTTGTTTACAATAAAGAACGTGGCGTCTTCTATTAACACAGAGCGGCTGTTATTGATGTAGTTGCTGCTGTTGTTGTTGTTGTTGCTGTTGTTGTTGTTGCTGTTATCTTGTCAACTGTAAAGAGCAAAGCATAAGGACAGTTCATTAGTGATGCGCTTATTGTTGTTGCTGCTGTTGTTGTTCTTGCTGTTCTGTTAAAAGCTCTCTCAGGTGGCTGTAAAATCTAATTAAGTCACAACATAATATCAAACGCAAGTGTTGCCACTTAATGCACTTTGTCAGGCAGCGGGCAGCGGACAGCGGGTTGCGGGCTGCGACGACAACAGCAGCTGGCATGCGATGTAAACACACATAAAACTCATCCGATTGATGTTTTCAGTGTGCGGACCAGGATGCTGTTACTTTGATTATAATTGGCAAAAGTCGGCCAAGCTAAATGATTGCGCGAAGGTCACACACAAACACACACACACACACACGCCCACTAACTTGCATACATATTGAAACGCATATGTAGAAATGTACATTTACACAAATACACACGAATGTCACACATTTTTGATATATTACTGGCGCCGCTTGTCTCACTGCTGACCCAAATATAAAATTTTTCTATGCTCTAGGCGTTTACATATACCAAAACTTTGATATTGTTTTAATATTTACCCGACCCGTTTCTGGCCGTGCGCGACTTTATGGAATTCGCACACTTGTGTATTATGTTATGCCCTAGAGATGGGCGATAGTTTTGCACATATACCTAACAGCGATAATTCACAATTAAATATGCTTATGAGTTAAATAAGTTTCTTACTTTTAAATTTGTTATTTAAAAAAATACAACTTTTTTTTTTTTAATGAATCCGTTTTATATTTATGTTAAGCATGCCAAGAGATTACTTTGACTATAGCCGTCTGTCAAACTTAATTATTGCAATTCTTTACATCAAATTCGTCACATGGCACGTGCCGGTGGCAACACACCGGGTAAGCTTTTGTAAATCACTTTGAAAAATCAGTTGCTGAAATTTTTGTTTTTAACAAAACATTAGCTGAAGTCACAGCATGGCACATCTCTAATGTTAACTAGCCGTTAATGCTAAACTGGTCGTAAATTTGAAGTTTAAGCCAAATGGTTGTTCTAATATAGTTAAGCTGAATTAGCACAGCGATAAGAAACAGCTAAAAAGTGGCTTGCATTTGAGCTCAAACTGCACTGCCTAACTGAGCTGTTTGGCTTACGTTACGCATTTTTGCGCTTATGTTGCACTTTTTGCGCTTACGCCACTGTTAATCGTTACTGCTATTTTAAGTTAACGTTGTGCTTGCTACGTTTAACATTGTCATCTGTTTTTGAAAAGAAACCAATAAATATTATCATATTTAAATTTCATCTTCAAAATTTAGCATTAAAAGTCATTTGGCAACCAAATCTTTCAAATTAATCCAAATTTTAATCACTAACAAGATGTTGATGCAATCAAATGGAATAAAGCAATTGTTCACATAGAGTTCGGTACCAGTGTGTGTCAACAAAAGCAGAAGATACAACAACAACAACAACAACAACAACAAGAAAAACAAAACAAAAATGAACAATATACCGCAAAGTAAACACTATAATTTAACACATTACCAACAGCGCTACAACTGGGATTGCGGTATATCCTGCATATTGATGATATTGTCCACCGCACAGCGCAAACAGTTCCTCAACAATTTCGAGAGCATCTGCAAGGAGGAGGGCTTCGGCGTCAGCACCTGGACAATTGATCTATGCTATCTTCTGCAGCGCTACAATGTGCGACACGAGTACTATACTCAAACACTTGGAATCGATCCTAACTACAAGAAGCACATGTATTATACGCGCATTATTGACAAGGACGAGAGGCGCGTGCTGCGTCGCTTCAAGGAAGCCAAGGCGCGTGGCCTCAGCGTCGAGAAGCGCACAGTGGGCATGCCTGTAATCGTTTCGCATTTGGCGCGTCATGGGCCAATTATATTACTGACAAATGCCTCGCTGCTTGTCTGCGAGATCTGCCGCAAAACAATACGGGACAGATTTGGGTAGGTAGTCGTTATGTTACGCGATCTTAGTACAATGCACGGAATACACACACACACAACACACTCGGGCGCACACACACACACGCACTCACACTAAGACGGGCGAATTAGATAAATAGAGCGACTCAAGGTCATGTCATGGCCTAATAAATTCTACTTGCGATCACCTCACCTCGTGGCGTTGCCACACTGGCACACACAATATCAATTACACAGACAGCGCTCAAAATGGCACTGTTGCTGCTTATCGATAACATTTGCTAATTAATCGTTAATCGGACTGGCTGGACAGCTTTAACCGCCATTTCAGGCATTTCAAATATGTCTAAGCTGTGCATACATGCACAGTATATGATTGTATTCATTTTATGTGGCTATAGCCTAAATGTTGGCTAATTATCAAGTGATTTTCATCAATTTTTGTTTGTTTCCGAAACAAAAGGTATGCGGGACACTATGTGGTGCTCTGCGGCTATGATATAACCACGCGTAAGCTGTTTTATCACAATCCGGAAGTACGCGACGGTCGTAAGTCAACGAAATTGACAAATAACTCGAATAATCATTAATTGCCAATCGATTCCAGATGTTTGCCGCTGCTTTTCTGGTGCAATGGACAACGCTCGTGTTGCCTTTGGCACCGATCAGGACATCATATTCATTTATGAGAAGACGAATCGCAAAAAGTAGATATCAAGTGCTCGGCGATGCCATGGCCGATGCAGTAGTACCTGCCCAGCAGTTTCCAGAGTTGTTGTTGTTATATGGAGCTGCGCGCCTATGTGATATTTTTATTAGGCATGGGATCTGATTCTGCTAGGCTGGGCCTCTCGCCTCAAGTATCTAAAGATTGCGTTGCCGCAGTTTTCACCAGCTAACTATTATTATATATATTTTTATATTATATTAAATATAAGCTACGATTTTTTTATATTTTTTCTTTTCTTTTGTTTCTGTATTTGCTGTAAAATTGTAACCTTGTTAGATAAGTTGTTATGCATTTTATATGTGTTTGCTTGAGTTTGTTGTTATAATGTTTATGCTTTAGTTTAACAATTTATTGTTATTTAGTTTAACAGTTGGTCCCCATTCAAAAACAACAACAATTTATATACTATTAATGCGCTTGCAATACATTTGTAACTTGCCATAAGCCCAAGTAAGCCAAGACAAATATTTTTAGAACTAGATCTTTTCTGATTTATTACCGAAATTATTAAGTATTATAGTTGAATATATAGACTGTAGAGATTTTGTAATTCCGCACGCATTATATTAGAAATATTTGCCTGAGATTACTTGATTTTATGCCCTAGCACATTCCAAGATCGCGTTTACATAGAAATATATATATATATATATATATATATACATATATATCTATATGGAATATCAAAAAAAAAAAATGGTTTATAAAAATTGTGTGTTTGAACTTTACTGTTGCTGCATCGACGGAATATCCTTATTGTTCTCATAGTTAAGCTGTTTGGTTAGCAGCTGGAGCTTAATGTGCGGCGCCTCCACGGGCAATATAATCTCGCCGGCCTCGTTTGTATATTTCGCATACAGCTGCTCCGAGAATGGCTGAAAGCCCTGGGAGCACAATATCTTCTGGGAGAATATGCCGGTGGCATCGGCTTTGAGCAGACGGAAACCGGATTTGCGTGCCACCTGCTCGGCGCGACGCACCAGCTCCTTGGCGATGCCCTGGCCCCGGAAGCGTGCATCCACCGATAGGATGCGCACATCAAAGATGCGCTCCACATTGTAGCGTGCAAATAGATCCACCTGCAGGCTGTGCCCGTAGAGCAGCTCAAATATCTTCTTGTAATTGTCGTCCATGCTGTGCTGCAGTTTTTCCAGCGCCTCTTCCGTATCGCCCGGACGCAATATGCCGTTGAGTATGACACCAGCTATTTGGCCATAGGTGGCGCTCTCTGTGCGCCCATCGACGGCCATCAGGCTGAGCTGATCCTGCAGCGTTGCCAGACTGTGATGCTCCAGCTCAGCGTTGCCACCGCCATGCTGGCAGAGTCCGGCCGCATGATTTAGCGGCTCGTCGGCAAAGAAATTTCCGCGCAAATGCTCAATCACTCGCTCGAAATGCTCTTCTGTAATCACTTTGTACTCCATTTCTAATAGATTTTTGTAATATTCTATTGGTTTCGGACGTTTTTATCAGGAAGCTGTGGGAAGCACAAAGTTAATTCAAAGAGAAAGTAAAAGATGCTGCAAATTAAATAAATTAAAATTCCTCAAATCCTTACAGAATTGTACGCAAAGTGTTTGCTATGTAAAAATTAATTGAACATATGTAGCATACTTATTGGAATGAAAACTTTCAGAATCGGCATAAATATGCTTTACAAATAATATTACTGTATTATCCATGGAATTCATCTTTTGTTCAAAAACTTTTATCGAAAATTCAGCATTTAATTGAATTCCTAACAAAGCTTTGCATACACAAAGGTACGCATATGTACAGTGGTCGCTCGCTAAGTAAAACGCGTGTGCACTAGAAAATGTATAACTAAAACGACAAAAACTGTAAGATATTTAATTTAAGCACAAATAAATATTTTACTATTCTCGCGGGTTCTTTTTTCCAAAGAAATATATTTTGAAATTCGCGCAGTTTCAATTAGCGAGCGATCACTGTATTTAAGTGCGCATACTGTCTATACACATGCACACACACACACACATATACATGTAAGATGGCAGCTGCCATTGGCATTTTGGCTTTCATAACATAATTAGAGAGAACGCAAAACTCTCACGCACACAGACGCATTCCAACACGCATACACTCTCTCAGACACACTCACTGCGCCTTTGTTGTTGTTTGCTGCTGCCGCTGCTGCTGCTGCTGCTGCTGCGATTACAATCGCATTATATTCAACATTTACGACGCCTAAGCGACAAAGTCCTGTTACATGCACACAACTCTCTGCCCCCCACGCCCCCCGCCCCGCCATCAGGCAAGCAAACTTTACGACCCTGACATCACCTGCACTGCAATGTGTATATTTACATTATTTTCCTTGCACTTGGCTTTTTGTAGCCGTAAATCTCTGCAGATGTTCATTAATTACTTACTTACTGGCTTTTGGTGTCTTTGGAGCTCTCAATTTGATTTTCTAATTCGCGGGA